CTTCGGATTCTCCTGGAACTGGAGTTAAGGACAGTTCACAGCTGCCATGTGGGTGCTGGGAATCAAACCCGGGTCCTCTGCAAGGGCAGTCAGTGCTCTTATCTGCTGAGCCATCTCTTCAGCCCCTAAAAATTTTTTTTAGCTATATTAAAAGTAACTCTTTCACTATAATCCCATATTATTTTGCTGTAACATTTTTATGACTTTTTAGTGCCTGACATGGGGATTTCAGTTTTGGGTTAATCAATTTTATCTCTAAAAGTTCCATGTGCAATATGAAGTATATTGTGGTATAAATATGTTAACTTTGAGTGATCTTCCCAATGCCAGACACTTGGGGTACCTTAGAGATCAGCAAGTGTCTTACTCCATCTGATATTAAACGTAGTGCAGGAAACAAATCTAAACAGTAAGCGATGAAGCTTCATTTGATTGGTACTGTGGAGTATCTACCATGTACCACTCTTGCCATATTACATTGTTTTTCTAAGAGGTGATGGGGTCGATGAGGGCTGGAGTTCACCTACTCCCTTTCTGATTTTGCCAGCAAGTGGCCATATCTTTTAGAGAATTAATGTATAGTGTAATAATTCTGACCACAGCAATAGATTCATAATTTGCATCTTTAAAATTCTGCTTTAGTGTACTGATTCCACATTTCTGTAATATTTTCCTCCCTTTCTGTGATTTTTTTCCTCCTGGAGCTGTGGACCAAACCAGGACTTTGTACTTTGTTAGGCAAGTACTCTACACAGAGCTAAGCTTCTAGGCCCCTTACCTCCCTTTCCTTTCTGTATTCCTCAGTGTTTCTTGTGTCAAGCATTATAAATCATGTAACTTAGCACTACTTATGCAAATCAGTAAAATTTCAAAGGCCTGTTCATTAGAACAACTACCAATGTTGTACATAAAAAAGCATAATGTGGGGCTGGAGAGATGGCTCAGCAGTTAAGAGCACTGACTGTTCTTGTAGAAGAGAGTTTGAATTCCAGCACCCATATGATGGCTAACAACATCTGTAACTCCAGTTCCAGAGGATCCAATGTGTTCTTCTGTCCTCTGTGGGCACTACATGACACAGGTGCACATACATGCAGGCATAAAACTCATAAAAATAAATTTTAAAAAAGCATAATGCATTTTTATTCTCAGATCTCTATAAAATAAGATGGAAGTTGGGATATATAAAAAATATATCCCAACATTATACTTCACAAGTTTCTTTTTTTTTTTAATTTTTATTTCAGTTGTCAACTTCTTTTTTTTTTTTTTTTTAGCCCCAGCTGGCCTGGAACTCGCTATGTAGACCAGGCTGGCCTTGAATTCACAGATATCCACTGTCTCTGCCTCCCAAGTTCTGAGACTAAAGGCATGCACCACCACACCCAGCACACAAGCTTATTATTTCTTGTTACATCTTTGCCAACATGAGCCATGAATGTGTCTTTGTTTTACTTTTCTTCATTTCAATCAGAGTTTGAATTATCTTGCAGAAAGGGATTATTTGAAGAATTCCACAACAAATGTACATGATTTTATTCATCTTAAAAATGTGATATTTGTCTCTCATTTACATGTGTTATCCATATCTATGCTTATTTAATTTTCAATGAAGAATACAGCTTAAGTTATGTAGCTAGTAAATCGAAATATTAGGAACCATGGAAGAATTTCAATTTGTTTAAAATGACACATTAATCTTAGTAAAATAAAAATATTTATGCATATATGTATGTTTTGTTTATGTGTGTGTGTACATGTACATGTATGTGAAAATGCCCACAGAGGCAAGAATAGGGCATCAGCTCCCCTGGAGCTTGAGTTAGAGGTGGCTGTGAGCTCCCTGGTCTGGGTGCTGGGAACCACACCACTCAGGTCTCTGCAAGAGCTCTTAATGGTTGAGCCATCTCTCCAGTTCCAGTTTTAAGATTCTTGAAATGACAATACCAACAGCATTTTTTTTTTTTTTTTTTTTTTTGTCTTTTTGAGCCAAAGTCTCCCTGTAGCCCCAGATGGCCTGGAACTCACTATGTAAACTAGGCTGGCCTCAAAACTCACAAAGATCTGCCTGCCTCTGCCTCCCAAGTGCTGGGATTAAAGGTGTGCACCACCCCACCTGGCTTTTCTTTCCTTTCTTCTTTTTCTTTCTTTCTTTTTTAACCAACAATATTTCTTTTACAAAACTGAAGGAAAAAGGGGTTGACCAAGAAGGAAGTCACAGATTTAAGAATTAGAGCTTTTGAATCTTGAAGTTCCAAGTATATTTTTCTTGGATGTAGTTGGATGTTTGGTTTTTAATCTCAGCTTCTCCTAGGACCCAGGCTAAAATAAATGTTTTTGGGGAAAAAAAACCAACAATAAATATAACACACATGTACAAATAACTTTTTTTTTTTTAGTATTTTTGAGGCAGGGTCTCCCTGTAGCCCCAACTGGCCTGGAACTCACTATGTAAACCAGGCTGACCTTGAACTCACAGAGATCCCCCTGCCTCTGCCTGGGATTAAAGGCATGCACCACCACGCCTGGCATAAATTACTTCTAAATGACTCTGTATTAAGGGTTTTTAAAAACATTTTAAATATTTTTATTTTAGGTATATAAGTGTATTGCCTGTATGTAGATAGGTGCACCCGTGTCGTGCAATGCCAGCAGATGTCAGAAGAGGGCGTTGGAGCCCCTGGAACTGGAGTTACAGTTGTTAACTGCCACGTGGGTGCTGGGAATCAAACTTGGGTCCTCTGTAAGAGCAGTCAGTGCTCTTAACCCCTGAGCCATTTCTCTAGCCCTGTTTTTGTTTTTTGTTTTTTTTTTAATCTGGTAAAATACAGTATAAAGCTGATTTCTCCAAGCTACAAGATTAGTTACTTTAGGAAACTTTTTTTTTTTCTTTTTTGTCTTTTTGAATGATCTCCTTGCAGCCCCAGCTGGCCTGGCACTTGCTATGTAGACCAGGCTGAATTTCAGTTATCTTCCTACTGGGACTAAATGTGTGCACCACCACACCCAGCTTAGAAAACTTATTGAACTTATTTTAGTGTGATTCGCTGACTCTTAGTCATATAGAGAATCAGATCTAATTGAACACTAATGGAATGATCATTTAAGAATAGAATGGTATTTCATCAAGAAATATTTTATTGGGCACCTGTTCCACATGTA